GGGGGGCGATGATAACTTCCTCAATGGCTCAAGGGGGCGTTTCTTTCAAAAGGGTTAAGAACCACTGAGCTAGAGGAACACTTCTGTGGAGAAGCCTGGAGAGCACTAATAGACCTTGGAGACAAGACTAAGCTGGATAGACCAAATGTGTGAACGGACAACTCGGCATGTTTATTACCTCATTGTATACCAGTTTACAAGCTGATTGTCTGACAAACAGCCTGGATGCTACTCCCATTTTGCCAATATTGGCATCAAATGCAGTTTCAGGTTCAGCCATCATCTCCTTTTATTGCTGTATGGTGAAGGCAGATTATGAGGACTATCACCTAAGCATGGCTCACTCACTATCTTTAGGCTGGGGGTGGGAAAAAGTGCAGTCTTCCAGTACTGTTGGACTGTAACTCCCAGCATTCCTCAACATTGCCTGTGCTGGCTGGGGCAAGTGGGTAGAAACAGATAGAAACTGTAGTTCAACATCATCTGCAGAGCTACATTTTGCCCACTCCTGCTGTAAGCCTTCCTGTATCCAAGCAGTGTGATTGTACTTCAGTTGGCAGTGGCACAAATCACTGTCAATATTGCTGGCTGCAAGCCATGAATTGAAAGCTATACAGTATATCTTTTGCCCACCAGATGTTGTAGTGAACAACTCTTATCCTCACTTACTGGGGCTATAAGGCATGCTGCCTTGGGCTGGTGGTACTTGGAATCCAAAGCATCTGAAAGCCCAAAGGTTCCCTGCTGTAGATAAATATCCACAGTGGCCATTTTTTTTGCCTTGGGAACACCTTTCTTTGGTAGTCTAGCCTACCTTGACCTTCCAGAACCAACAAGAGTCCTTTTTAGAAGTCAAACTTCCTATAACTAAGAGTGAACAAAGGGCTCTTTCACTGTCTGGTTTTTAAAAATATGTATCTCTCAAACATCAAACCAAACAGTGGATCCCTCCCAGTCCCCAAGATCTCCCATCCCTCAACCTGTAAATGGCTCAGCGGCAAGATTTTTGCAGGCATCCTCAGCAGAGAGTGATGTAAATTTATCATCCTTACCTCAGAAGAGAAACAGATTTTGGATCTAGCTCAGTTAACTGGCTTAAAATGGCTTTTAAAAAAGAAAAGAAAATTGATTCATTTTACAACTTAGCAGTGAAATAAGTTCTTACAGTTCTTTAAAAAGAAAAGAAAATCATTTGAGGGTGCATGTGTGTTTAAATCTACCAAGGCCAAGAAATTCAGTGACAAGGGAAGGATTTGCAGAGTAGTCAGCTGGGCCGAGTTACAGTAAGCATTCCTGGGCTATTACGTGTTAGCTTAGCCCCTGCAAGGAACTGGAGGAGTGCATTTTCCCTCAAACATACTTAAGTACAGACATTTTTACAGTGGGCATTCTTATTGTCTGAACAAAATACAGCCAAAAAAAAGAGGAAACAAGATTTTCTTAAGGGTGGCCAGCAGATATGTGAGGCTGCAGACAAAACAATGGACTCAGTGGTTATTTCCCTACGGAAATGATTAGCTATAACTATTTGGATACTGTGGAGAGCAGCAAGGCCCACTGGCAGAAAGGAGAGTCTCAAAGAATGCACAGCCTTGCACCCTGGTGTTATGAATCCTTTCTCAGAAGTTTATTTCTATTCCTTTTCCTCCCATCGTACATTTACATACCATTTAGTAACATCTATGTGTCATTCGCCCTTGTGCCCCTTGCTTGTCTTTCCCTCACAAAGGCTCACATTGCGTTTTCCTCTTGCTGCCACCAGTGGATTACCTCAATCCACAATATAAATGACATTTGTCTGAACACTTCTCTTGTGAACAGAAACAGAACTTATTTATTGAAGTGAAGCAGATTGAATAATAACAGAAGTTCTTCAGATACAGTGGTGCCCCACAAGACGATATTAATCCGTTTCATTGAAATCACTGTCTTGTGAAAACATTGTCTTGCGAAAAGCGTTTCCCCATTGGAATGCATTTAAATCCGTTTAATGCGTTCCAATGGGGAAAAATCGTTGTCGTTTTGCGAAGATCGCCCATGGTTGAATGGCATGAGTGATGTGGGCAATCGTCACATTCCTCCCCTCTAAGAAAAAGTTTGTTTCATGAGGGAAAACCTTACAGTTTACCCTTATGAGCAACTGAACATACAGGGAACATTATATACAAAACAACATCATAATAATATGCTTACCAGTTATGTCCAGCACTTGAAGACTAATACATTTTATTTGGCATATGCTTTTGTGGACAGTAGACCCGCAGGGTGC